AAAAAAATGGTTACGTGGTGACAGATGCGAAAAACCGGAATGAAGAACATATTAAATTACTTTCATCTCGAGTACTCGTGTTTTCCTTCCGCATATTCTCATCTTATTACACTTGCACACCTTTAATTGCATAGCAAGTTATTTTAAAACGAACATAATTATTTGATCGTCATTTTCGTCGTTATTTTTCGAATCAATATTTGAATTGTATTTTATTATCTTAAAGTTAAATTAATTATCAATATTCGATTACATATTTAAAACTTCAGTTAGATTAATTCATAATATAAATAATAGATTGACTACTTTCTATCTAATTAATTATTGTTGAATTATATTCACCAATTTCTACAAATGAAATTTTAATTTTTGAAGTACGAAAATATCTTTAAAAATTTAAGACATGTATTGAAAAAGAACATACACACACATTTTTTTCTATCCGTAAATATTTATACAAATTTATATTCATATTTTATTCATTATTCATATTTTTATATTATATAATTATAAAAATGATAAATAAATATTTTATTCATCCTCTAAATATTAAAAATTCCTCTAAATATCATAATGAGTATTTATTTTTGACACTTTATACATTTTTTTATGATTGATAGTAAAAGAAAGATTTTATATTTTTTTTTGTATTTTTATATTTTTCTTTAATTATAAATATTATAGTTATATAATACTACATAGTTATATAGTTGTATAATAATATAAATACTATAAATATTATAATTGATATAAAATATAATATTTGTACACGATAAACATATGTTGAAATATGATGAAATAAGATAAAAATATGTGTTTATAATTTAATTCTTTTTAAAATTTTTCTTATTATTATATAGAATATTAATATATTCATGAAACATTTTAGAAGATCTTGGAAGTCAATTTTATTTCGTTTTATCTAAAACTATAAAAAATTTAAATTGCTTATATAATTTAATAAATAAATCAAAATCAATTTTTTATATATCAATTTTATTTTATATTTGTTTTCTTTAAATGTTTTTAATTTATTATTAATCTCATTTATCATTGTATTATGAAAATAGTTGCAATGATTTTTATAATTTAACAAATTTATTTTACATGTAAATTATAATAATATAATAATATGAATGTAATTATAATAATATAAATAAAATATATTTTCTTAATTAATATACTAATATTTTTTAAATATTTTCTTTTGTATTTAATCTTTAAAATTATTCTTTCATAAGTGCTTTACGAATATATTATCATTTTACAGACATTCAAAAAATACCACCATTTTTGATTCAAGATAAATTGAATTATTTGAATTTAAATAACATTTCATTAATTAGAATGAGGTTAAAAATTTTTTTCCATTTTTATTTTCAAGTTTCACGAACCGTAGAATTTTTTTGTTACGCGAGAAATTCATCAAGATACGGGAAAGAAAAACTTATCTCCCTTCTTATTCCTTAAATTAACGAGTTGCCTGGGAGATTAAACGCTTCCAACGATTTTCTCTCGCTAATTCGCCGGTTCAAAGCTCTTTGACCTTTTCCTATAAAATAAACTGCGATAAAATTTATCTAGAAAAGTTACGAACGAGAAAAGCTTTTTAGTCTCTACGTTTAGTTTAAAAAATTTTAGATCTTTTAAGATATGTAGACAGTAAAATAAATATCTCTGTTGTGTTTTTATTTACTAATAGTACAGTATAAAATACACATTCCAACCACATGTTCGAATACTGATTTAAATGAAATATAGCAACAAGACAAAGCAATCTATTAGTGATATCTGAATATGACACGAGTATGCTCAGTATATCTAAAGTTTGATTTATACAGCTATAAATGCGATCTCTATTAAATGTGTATACCACTATGAACTCTGGAGATATATGGTAAATCACTAGAACCCTGCTCCCATGGGACACAAGCTCTAACTAAGTATGTATGTACCAACTTTGGCATTGTATATTGCCATCAGAAGTTTACACATTCCACCAATTGTTAATGTATTATGTATTAATGTATTCGTGAAGCATTTTAGAGGATCGATTCTAGAATGAAAACAATGAAAACAAGTACAAATAATATATGAAAATTTTGATTAATCTTTATTTATTATTTATAAAAAAACAATTTAAATTTATGTTAAATAAAAAATGAATATAAAGTGAAACACTATTTCACTTTATCTAAAGAAAACTTAATCTTAATTTTCAATCCTGATTGGATACAATGGATATTCTTTTGTAAAATAATATATATATATATATATACACACATATATATACACATTATGTATATGTATGTTATTTTATACTTTTATAACTTCTTTGATTATATATTATTATATAAAAAATAATAAAGAAAATATGGATACTAGATAATTATTTATTTCATTCCTTTTTCTTTCTTTTTTTCTTTTCTTTTATGCATTCGTGATTGTTTTTATTATTATTAGTATTAAACAAACTTAGTCTTAATAGAAAATCACGCACATTTATAACTTTCATCAAATAAATTCATTCTTTTTTTTATAATTTTTGTTTATAATTAATATAATATAATATTATGTAAATTTAAATAATGATATATAATACAATTAACATATAGATTTATTCAAATATACCTTAAGGATAATAATATAATAGTTTTGTTTTGTTAGGCTTTACAGCACAGTAATTATGGTTGTAATGATAGTAACTTTTTTTCTCTTATGGATTAACATCTGCATCGATATCAGAAATTACATAGGATTATATACATCAACCGGAAGAAAAATTCTTTTGTATTTGGAAGTAGAATTATTTAACGAAAAATATTGATTTTTTCATTTATAGCTATTCTAAAACTATCTCGAATAGAAAATCAAAATATATTTTATAAATAATTAATAAAAATATATAAAATATGTATGTGCAAAAAAATAGTTTTGTGATATTTTGATATAACAAATTTGATTTTTATTTTTATATGTTATTTATATATGTCATATGAAAATCTAGGATTTATGTCTATTACCTGTGAAAATTTTGTATAATTTATTTACTTATATATGCATATAATAGTTAATTCTCATTTTCATCTTAATATAGATCTTATTATTATCTATAATTCAAAATAAAATAAATTTTTTTATATTTTTTATATTATTTTATTATTATACAATGTTAATTGAAATATTTTGAATTATTGAGATTCATATGATTACATATAATAACATTATATAACATTTGTATTTGTACATCCTATTTATTCTGTTTCACTTGTATTATCTATTTTTTTTATCTTTGATACAAATAGCAGAATGAGCCAAAGTCAAATAATGTTCAGTTTTCCAAATATTTGATCAAATATAATCTCGAGAGTATCTATATATGTGGATACTATTGTCTTTATTACATAAATACATATATAAGATATAGTTACATACATATATAGATATAATAGATATTCGATTATATTATATATATTTTTTATTGATTTATGTAGATTTTTGTATATAAAAATTTCTTATATATATATTAACAATCTAATTATAACAATTATTATGTTATAATTATTGATGAATATTCAATCTCTCATTTTTTCTTCAATTTATCTCATCCAATTTCTTTTTTGTTCTTTCAATATGTTCCAAGTAAGTAAATAAAAAAAAAGTATAATCTTATAACATTATATTTTTTATAAATTTATATTTTAACAAATTATCGAATTCTATAAAACGAGACATTCGTTTTATTTTTACAAAAATTTTTCATAAAAAATGAAGTACCGTTTCTTTGTGAAAAAGAAATATCGGGAAAAGATATGACAGAAATAATGACAGCTTGGAAGAAGGGGGATCGGAGGAAAAATGGATGGACAAGCAAAAACTGATGAGAACGAGGCATCAAAGAGTTTGGAGGAAATGAAGGCTGAAAAGGTAAAGAAAGGGAAGGGAAAAAAGATGGCTTAAGAGTAGGCTAAAGAGCGCTGTTTTCAAGTGTCTGCTGCTGTTCTGGCCTGTGTTAACACTTTACGCCTCCCTTTTACGTATTATCGTCCCCACTTAAATACTTTTGTTGGAATTCGGATAGTCTGATTCATAAAATACAGCTACAACTATATTTTATATGCAATATGGTATATACTTGTAATATATTCAAGTAGAAAAAGTTTACAATTGCATCCGCTGAATACTTTTTTCTTGATTATGAATAAAATTATTTTCTTGCAAAATGGTTTCATTCTAATAATTTAATTATATTATTATAATAATTTATAATATATTTTTATGAAAAAAATAAATATAATGTATTTCCATATCTAGGTCTATTATCTATAGCTAACTATTGATATATTGAAATTTTTTAATAAAAATAATATTATATTATCATTTTATAATGACAACAAAACATATTTTCAATATAAAAGAACAAAATATAAGTAGGATGGAAAAAACTAAAGAGCAAAATTTTTTTGCTATTTGTAGTTTTTAATAGTGAAAAAAATTTGTTGTCTTTTTAAAATAATATTTAAGTTGTTGAAATCTGAATTTAATCACAGATTTTCTAAATGCAGCAAATTACCGAGAAATTATTTTTATAAATTCTTCTTTATATAATAATTTATGGTAATATTTATGGTATATAGTAATATTTTTTATTACGTAATGTAAAAATAATTTTAGATAAAAAAATTTGAAAAATTCTAGATATTAAAAATATTATTT